AGGATGGTATGAAATGCAGTCTGCCAGGGTGTACGTGGAGGTAAACTGTGTGTGTGTGTTTGTCTGTGTGTCTGTGTGTGTCTGTGTGTGTGGAGTGGAGTGGAACAAACCATGGAGAATTCACTGGTCTATGGATTGGGCTCTTCTTTGGTGACCATGAAAGAGGCTGATGGGGAACAGGCTAGAAGATAGGAGAGCCAAGAGGGCAACATCTCAGAACCCCCAGTGGGAGACAGCATTGGGGGAGACTGACCATCCATACAGGTGGCATGGCAGAGAGGACACTTGTGGAAGGTCTGCAGAGGAGACCCCAGATGTTGATGATCTTGCCAGAGGGGAGCTGTTGCTGAGAATGAGTGATTCTGTTGGGGACAGTGGTGAAGGGGTAAGTGGGCAAAGCCATGGTAAAAAAGTGGCCACAGTGGGTGTGGGCACCTGAATGCTTCCAAGAAGTGAGACAGTAGATGGGAGGGTGTGAGAGGTGAGAAGAGTGGGTGCAGGATCAAGGGGGGCTTTTTGTTAAGACTAAGGTGTTCATGGACTCTGAGGAAGTTGCCATGGAAAGGCAGAGACTTCAGGGTTCTCAAAGGAGAAGGTGGGGAACAGGCTCAGCAGGCCAGGAGAAGGGGATCACCTTGAACCCAAGAGCAGGGGACAGAAGAAGGTTAGGATGGGTCCCGTCAGGGGTGGGCCGGAGTATATGAACAGGGAAAGGGGAGGGTCTTCCCCCTCTAAAAACTTTGGTTGCTTTTTGAAACTGAACAGGTAATCTCTGAGAAGGCTGGAGTTGGGGAGGGGGTTGCTGCAGTAGCATCAGGGGCTGAGAAGATGGTGGGCTGAAGAGAAGTCTTAGGGGAACGAGAAGAGTGCAGGGAGGTGGCGAGGAGGGGGGAGGCCAGTGCTGACAGTGCAGGAAGAGGGGAGACCACGGCCTCCTGGGGCAGAATCCTGTATCCCCAGCACACACCCAGAGGAGGCAGTGGTCTCATCATCTCTGGCTGGGCAGGGGGCAAGGAGAAAGGGCATAGCAGCATGACAGGGACAGGACCACGAGGGCCCTGAGGAGAGGTGATGAGGGGAGAGGCCTCCTGGAGTCCAGCAAAGAAGGAAAGGGTGGAAGAAGCAAAGTGGCCAGTCAGGCTCTGGGGATTCAGGTGAGATTGGAATACGAGTAAGGGAGTGAGGAAAAGGAGGAGGCAGGGTCAGAGTCTGGGGTTGTAGAGTCTACCATTTTAACACTGGGGCTGCCCCAGCTAAATATGAGCTCCAGACAGAACATTGACAATGACCTATTTATTGCCTCTGCAAAACTCAGCCCTGAGGCTGGGAGCTCTGGGAAGCCAGGCCAAAGACATCTGGGCATCTAGGGACCTGCTGACATCACACTACCATCATGTCCCAGAGAGCAATCTGCAGAACCCTATGTGGGCAGGTTGATAAGGAGGTCATGCCCCAGTGAGTAGCGTCTACAGAAGATTCTGGCTCACTAAGGCCAAGCTGGGGCCTGTGGCTCACCAGGCCAGGCTAGGATGCTGGACTCAGTGAATTCTTATTCTCTCTGACCTGCCCCCACTTAATCTCAATTTTTCTCAAATAAGAAGGTAGACAAAGGTGGCACCCTGACATACACCCTTGCTCTGTCCATTCTTGGGGGAGCCCTGCTTGCCTGCCATTGGACTGGTCACTGCAGAGAACTCAGGATGACTCAGCTCCTGCCCTCTTCTGACTTCTACCTGAGGTGTCTATAAAGCCTCTGGAAATGACCCCTGAGGTCTGATTCTTCTATATACTGCCAGGGTATATATTTTCTCAAAGGCCTTCTGGAAAACATGCGTGTTAACTTTAGATTCCTGTGCCAGCAGACAGGAGGGCCATATCTCTATCAGATAGCTTTCCAAGCCTGCACACAGGCCTATAGTCTTAGCTCTGGACTTTGGGAGGTATGACATTAGAGTCCTGGCCTCTCATAGTCAAGGGACATGTGTTGCTTTTAGCAGACTTAGGGCATTTTCCAAATGATTTCCCATTTACTCTTAAGGTGTCATCATTGGGAAAGGAGGAGACCAGGGGGGCTAGTTGGATCCTGTGTGGATGGTGTTAGTTGGCCTCTGTGTGGAAGCTGGAGCAGGTACCTGGGCCTCCCTTGAGCCTCTAGAAGCATCTTCCTGGGGCTGGGAAGAAGAACTTGCCTACAGTGGAACCAAAGACCAGAACCCAGAAGCCTGCTGCTTCTGCCAGCTGCTCTGTCCCCACAGATGATAAATATCCCTAACAGGCTGCTCCTGAGCTCCTGTATTTGAGTCCAGGGTAAACCACCTGAGTGATGGCTTAGAGGCTGCCTCCTCCCCACCAAGGAAAATGGTGGGGAGCAGGGAGGTGGTCTCAAATCTCACCCTCACTCATAGCTCGATGTCCTTTAGGACAGGCCCTGCCCCTTTCTCAGGTAGCTTTTGTGTCCACCTGCCAGCCCTGTATTTAGACCCTGGGCCATTCGTCTGCCTTGTTCCCAGGAAGGCAGTTGGAGAGGGGAGAACATTCCTGGCAGCGGAGGCTCAGGAAGACAGGGAAAGAAGGAAGACTGAAGGCTCCTGGAGCGGGGCCTGTGGGGGTGGCATGTGACTGGTGGGGGCAGTGCTGCCTTGGCAACCAGCACTGCTCTGTACTCCCCAGCCATAGTTCACTTGTTCGTCAGATTGGCTCATCTGTCATGCAGGGCTTTGAAATGGCTGAAAGCATGCTTTACCTTTCCTTTCTAAAACCTTTCCTCCCTGATTTTTTCAGTACCCTCCCCACCTTCACACCCTGGGATCTTCCCCAGTTCTCCTTCAGTCAGAGACAAACCCAGGTCCTCAAGAGTCCTCACTACCCCACGTCTCCCAGTGTCCACGATGGAGTCTGGGAGTGCACCTCTCATCCATAATGACCATGAGGTCTGAAATGGGAACCGGGTTTGACCCCCTGATCCCCGTGAAATTGGCCAGGAGCCCTCTCTTACCACATGCTCCTTCCCGTCATGACAGCTGTAAGCGGCTGCTTCTCTCTCTGGAGAAGCCAGGCTGGGTTCTCCCCACCTGGAAATGAGTTCCACGTGTCTTCTTGGGAGGATTCTGTTGATAAGTATCTTGCGGGACTGCAAACCAGGCATCGTTTCTGCCTTTCTGGTGGTTCCCTTTTGATGATATTCTGTGGGGAACAAGCAGGGAATGTCAGCTTGTCCTTGTGGTTACTCACAAGACAGGTTTTTTGGGGAGCTTGCTTGTGAAAACAAGAGCTTTTGCAAACCACTTGCCTGCAACCTGGGCATCTGACAGGGGTAGAGAAACAGGGCTAGGATTTTAGAAGCCAAGCCCTCTTCTCCCTTCCCCCACAGACCTGTTCCACCCTTTCCTGTACCTACTCTCCTTTGGCTCCATCTGGCACAAAATCAGGGAAGGTTCTAGGAGAACATCTCCCTCACTGGGGGTTCCCCAAACTCCTACACAAGCCAGCTTATTCCCACAGTGACTTAGCCCTGAGTTTGCCTATCGGCCCCACCCTATGCTGACTGTGTGCTCCCCACACTCACTCCCCTGTTCCTCTAAGGCAGGGCCAGCTCAGCTTCCTCCCTGCCTCTGAGATTTATTCTGAGCTCCTGCCCACAGAAAGTGGATGCTTCTCTCTCTTTACCTGGACAGATAAGACAGACCCTCCAGAGATGAGCCGCAGGGAACACAAACACATCTTGAACTCTAGAGCCCGCAGGGCCCACACACGTGAGCGCGCATGCACACACGCATGCGCACATCTCGCACGCACGTGCATGCGCATATTTTCAGTCACACACAAAACCCGTTTTTGCAAACATTCATGTGGCTGAGACACTGAGGCCACCAGGGGACCTAGGCCTCACTGCCTGCCCCAGATCTCTGGCACCTCGGCCACGGAGGATGCTGGTGACACCTGTGTTGCTTCTTCCAGCCTTCAGCTGTTCTGAGGGCTATTTATATGTTCTCAAGAAAGTAGGGGAGGCTAGTTGCTTGGCTAATGCCAAGCTGAGGCCCTGGATTGGGAGCTGAGTCCATGGGTCTCAGGGCCACCTTCTGAAAGTCGCAAAGCTTGAGATCCAGCACACTTTGTCCTCCTGCTCCCTGGGGGCTTCGCTGGGTCTCCTCCAGGCCACCCTCCAGCCCTCCTATACCCAGCAAGAATGCCAAGTCCCCGCTCTGACCCAGCCCCTCCCGCGGCAGGCATTCAGTCCCATCCATCACTAACTTTCCTGCCCTCCCCTCATAGTCATCCCTTTTGAGACCCAGTGTGACTTCGTCCTACCTCCCACTTCCATCAGCACCTCTTCAACCACACAAGACACCACACACCACAGTGGGTCCCTATTGTAGAAGGGCCCTTCCCTGACCTGCCCTCAAACTCTAGCCAGCAAATGGCCACCAGACCTAATGCCCAGCACACTCTGAGGCCAGAGGGCTAACCCCAGGCCCAATGCTGCTTCTTAGACCAACGTGTGGTATAACATCCCTGTGTCCTCTGCCTCCCTTCTGGCCATCAAGAGCCTGGGTCTCAGGGGCATCTCCTGCATCAGCCTGACCAACCTGGATGGCTTGCCGGCTTCACACCGGGTGCTGCAGTCTGTTGCCTACCACATGGGCTCACACCTGCAGAGTTTGTGCCTCGGTGGGGGCAGCCCCACAGAGGCCTCCTTTGTGGCCCTGATCCTGGGCTGCCTGGCCCTGTGTATCCTTGACCTCAGTGGCTGCAACAGTCTCTTCACATCGGGCATGCTGCTAGCTCAGCCTGAGACAGCACAGAGGGTCCAGCAGGCACTGAGTGGCCTTTGTGAGCTCAACCTGGCTAGCCTGCGGGACCTGGCTGATCTCAGCTTCAACCGTCTCAGTAGCTGTGCCCCCAGCCTGGAGCGCCTCTCTTTGGCCTACTGCTACCTCACCTTCGAACAAGGCCCAGCCAGGGGCTCCATCGGCCCCTAGGACTCCTCCCCCTCCCAACTCTCCTTTCACAACCTGCTGCGATTTGTGAAGGAGTGGGCTGGTAGGCTGTGCGCCCTGGACCTGAGTGGCACTGGCTTGCCACCCAAGGCCCTACAGGCCCTGGGCCAGGTGGCCGGGCTGCAGCTGCAGGAGCTGAGCTTGCACAGATGCCAGGACCTCTCCACAGAGGCTGTGGCTGCTCTTTGCTACCAGCAACCAGGCCTTACCTCCTTGGACCTCAGTGGCTGCTCAGAACTAACTGTCTGAAGGGGCGCTCCTGGCTGTGAGCTGAGGCCTGCAGCACCTGCAGCACCTGCAGCACCTGCAGCACCTGAGCCTGAGGAAGCTGCAGCGGGTCACAGATGCGGGATGCTCAGCCCTAGGGGGCCTGCAGGAGCTGCAGAGCCTCAACATGGCCGAGTGCTGCCAGGTGAGAGGGTGGGAACTGGCCCAGGCGCTGGGCTCGGTGCATGGAGCTCCACCCCCATTGGCCTCCCTCAGCCTGGCCTACTGCTCCTCACTCAAGGTGAGCATCCCATCCCCTTCGTTCCTTCCCCACCAGGGCTAAGGGCTGGGGTGACTGGGAATGTGGCATCAGGGAGGTGCCCAGTGTTCATGTCCAAGTGGTAGTAGTAGAACTGAACTGGGGACATAGTCTGGAAGCGGAAAGGAGCCTAGATAGACAGTGCTGCCACCAACACTCCTCCCTGCAGCCCCAACAGTGGGTCCAGGTAGAGGGAGGTCCAAGAGATCAGGGTGGTCCAGCCCCCAAGGTGGCACACACCTCACAAGCCAAGTGCTTAGTGACCACTGCAGTCTTTGGAGCAGCTCTGGGGGCAGGTGTTCTGGAAGCCGGGAAGGCTGGTAGAAGGGGTGACAGAACCCAGTCCTGCGGGGAAGGGGCACTGAGGTTCCACCGAAGTGGTTGCTCTGGCAGGGTCTGAGGGAGGGAATGTGATGTGGGAGCAGAAGGGTCATTTCTTGGCTGAAGCCAGTTTCTTCAGTAGGGCTCAGCCCTGCCCCTCTGGGTGGTGTCCCTATCTTGGCAATGTCAGTCTCTCCCTCGTTAGCTGATTATTCCTTCAGTCTAGCACTGTGGCCAGGGCATTCCTAACCTGAAAACCATCTCAGCCTTTTTCCCCACAGGCGCCTCTCTTCCCCTGTCCTATTCCATCTTCACTGCTGTGTGTCTCTTAGCTGCTCTCTCTGGGGCCCCACATTCTCATGTCTCTGCATCTCACTACAAACCAGCTTCCTCTATTCTGTGCTTAATTCCTGCTCCCCCTACCTAACCCCAGTTGCTCCTGGCAGGTGGCAGCCCTACCTGGTCTGTGACCTCACAGTTCTAGCAGGAGCATGTCTGACTGGCTCAGCTAGGATCAGATGTCCGCTACTGGTGCTGGGAGCATAGGCAAGGTGAATACCACAGAAATTTTCACCTGCATCCTTCCTGCCCCAGCCAATTTGTCCTTCTCCTGGTGCTGCATCTCTAGAACCCACCTCATCCATCTACACTGACTTTCACCAGCACCAGAACATTGTTGCTTCCTTCGAAGGACCCTGTGGTAGCTCCCTATTGTCTGTGGGGCTGGAACCTTGGGCAGAACCCTACTAGTGATCCCTGCCAAGCCTGGTGACACAGGCACACCTCTCCACTGCCCTCTCCCTTTTACACTTCCCTCCTAGGACGCCTCAGTGTTCTCCCTGATCCCCGTGCTGAGCCCAAGCCTTAGGGTGCTAGACTTATCCTCCTGTGTGGCCCTCACCAACCAAACCATGCAAGCCATCTGCACTTATCTTACCCACCTCTCAGTCCTGTGTCTGGCCTGGTGCAAGGAGCTCCATGACTGGGGGTTTCTGGGGCTGAGGGCACCAAGTGAGGAGGCTTTGAAAGAGCCCAGGTGAGGGACCCTGGAGGTCAGGTGGGTGGGGCGTTCTCTGCCCTCCTACCCCTCCTAAGTCTCTCTCTGGGAACATTTGAGGGTCAAACTCAGGAGGAACCTGAGGCAGGGGCTTCTTCCCACAGCCACACCGAGAGCTGGAGCATCAGGCCTCCAGCCCCAAGAACCCTTCTCCCCAGCCACAGGACCCCTCCCTGCTCACGCTGCAGGCCCTGCGGGAGTTGGACCTCACAGCCTGCAGTAAGCTGACTGATGCCAGTTTGACCAAGGTGTGGGGCTGGGGGCTGGAGCCAGGGGTCTGGGCCAACCCACTTTTTGCTTGGAAAAACTTCCTTTCTTATGGGCTTCTGCTGCTTTGGCCATTCCTTTGTCTGGGGGCAGAGGAAGTTGGAAGGGCCCTAGACCTGGGCTCCAGTACACATTACCCTCCACCCCACCCCCATCCTTACAGGTGCTCCAGTTCCCCCAGCTGAAGCAGTTGTCACTGAGCCTGTTGCCCGCACTTACAGACAAGGGCTTGGTGGCTGTGGCCAGGGGTTGTCCCAGCCTGGAGCGCTTGGCGCTGAGTCACTGCAGCCTCCTCAACGACAAGGGCTGGGCCCAGGCAGCCAGCTCCTGGCCGAGGCTGCAGCATCTCAACCTGTCCAGCTGCAGTCGGCTTACAGAGCAGTGAGTGTGTCCGGTGTTGCCACAGTACAGGGGTTTGGCTGGGGCCGATGCTGAGTTGGGCACTCATCTAGTGGCCTCCCTGCAGAACACTGGATACCACTGGGCAAGCGTGCAAGCAACTCCAGACGTTAGATGTGGCCATGTGTCCTGGCATCAGCATGGCTTCTGTCAGGTGCTTCCAAGCCCAACTGCCCCAGGTGACCTGTGTCCAGTCCCGCTTCGTGGGGGGTGCTGACCTGACCCTAACACTCTGAGGCCAGGTCAGTAACCAGCCCTGCAGCTCAGCCTCCGTCACCTCCAGAGTCCTCAGCCCTGGCTTCTTGACCTAGAGTTTGACTCAGTGCCTTCTGTCTCCTTCTGCTACATGCCCCAGAGCCCCTTCTCCTTTTCTAGGACTAGGGGTGGGACTCATCCAGGGCAGCCCAAGGGGCTTCCTGCCCTACTCTGCCCCACAACCCAGCAGGGACGTTTTCCAGCTACATGTCACGGTCACAGACCCCTGGAAATGGCAGCTCCTGCTCTCCTGTCCAGGGCTGGGTTCAGAGGCCAGGGTTACAGGTGGGCTGGGGAGGAGCAGACCTTCTGCCTCTTGCCCTGTCCACTTCTCACACTAAGGCCTGTGCCCACCTTATTCCCTACAGGAGCTCGCGCGCGCCACCTTGTTCCCTACAGGAGCTCTCCCAGTCCCCTGCCAGCACTGAGCTTTAGCAGTCTTTGTTGTACGCCCAACAAGATTAAAAAATTCCAGATCTTACCTCCTTGTTTGAAGTTCTCAGACTCTAGGGTCCCTCCCCTCCCCACCTCAGTTGAAACAGCCCAGCCCAGCCCACAGACAATGTGTAGGAAACACCAGAGGGACAGACAACTTCTTCTTCTGGCCCAAAGCCCTGCAGGTGCCCTCAGTGGGTCTTAGCTTCTTCCCCAGAGACTCCAGAGGCCTTTCCCCAGCACGAGCCCCAGGACATGGCCTGTAGCAAAGGCACATCTGTGTGCACTTGTCCCAGCCAGACCCCAAGAGCATGGTGACTAAGGATGCCTGAGTCAGTGAGGCTGTCCTCTGGAAAAGAACAAGAGGCCAGCATCTCTGGGTATAAAGAGTCATTAGAGGACATCTAGTCCATTCTCCTGAACAGTGCTGGTGACTTCTCAAACAGCTCTGAGAAACAGTCTGTCTCCCATGCATCCACCCATGCTTTGTTCATCTATCAGTTCACTAGTTCTAGGACAGCTAACTGGGCTGCCTGAGTACCTGCAGGCACTGTGCTTTATGTGGGGAGTCAGAGCTGCTGAAGCTCTCCCAGCCCTAAGGGCAGTTGGGGAAGCATATTAGCCAACAGGCAGGGCCAGTGCAGTGTGTAGGGTGTGCACAAATAAACAAGCTCCTGGGACTAGGAACCCAGGGGAGCAATGAACTTAGCTTAGGAGGTCAAGGAAGACTCAGGTGAGTTTAAAAAGTGGAGGAAAGGAAGGGGACAATGAAGCAGAAGGGACCAGGGAGGTGCGTGTGGACAGGCCAGAGCTGGCACTGGGGGTAGGGGTGGTCCCAGCCTCTTGGGAGGGAGGATGCCAGCTTGGACCAAGCACTGAGAACCCTGCAAGCCACAGGCACTCTGTTGGAAGGGCTAAACCACAACATGTCTGCAACCCATCTCAACTCTGTTTAATCTTGGTACCATGACCATTATCCCAAGGACAATAGGGAGACACTGGCAGCCCCAGACCCACTTTGGCTGGTGCCACCAGACTGCAGGGCTAGCACTGAGGAAAGATGAGGACTCATCTTGGGGAAGGGTAAGAGGGCCAGCCTGTCCCTACTCTTTCAGAACACCCACTCCTCAACTGTAGCTGCCCAGATTTGTGGCCCTAAGCTGCGGCCCTGGTCTGATTCCCCTGTCTTCTACGCCAGCTATATTTGAAGGCAAGTGTGGCCTGCAGGGTTCAGAGCTGGCTTGACACATATCCAACAGCCAAGCAGGCTTTATTTCTGCTGCAGTATCTGCTGGTCAGGGTGTCTGTGCTTCTCCACCCGCCACCCTTTGTGGCTACCACGGTAGCAGCAGCTGTGGCCCTTGAACAGCTTCACTGTCAGGGTTCAGCAATGCTGCAGTCATAGCAGAAGTTGAAGTTGGTGGGGGGTGGGGGGATGGGGGGTGGCTGCTCAGGGATGGGCACGTTCTCCAGTTCCAACAACCGCAGCTTGGTTTCCATGGTCAGCAGCTGTTCCAGGTCCAGCCGTGTCTGCTCACTGCCCATGGGACTGCCCAGCAGGGCACTCAGCCCATCTGTCCACAGGTGGAACTGGGGACGGGGCCAGCTCCATGAGGGCCTACCCGTCTCTTCCCCTGCCCATCTGCCCAACTCTGCTCAACCTGCCCAGACACTCACCTCCCGTTTGGATGGGGCAATGAAGTTGAGGTAGGCCTCCTCCTCCCCGTGGTCATAGCTGATTGAGAAAGCTAACTCACAAAAGTCCTAAGGAAGCAAGGGAGGCAGAAGCACTGAGCAGGGGGCAGGCGGGAAGGAACCCCTGGTCCCCACTGCACTCACCTTGTTCTGCTTCCCTGAGCCCTTCTCCCGGACATGAGGGCAGTCCTTGCCTGTCAGTAGTGCCCTGATGTCGGCCACGGGGACTGCAGGAAGACGGTTGGGCTGACCACTGGGACCCCAGGCGGTCCCGGGACATGGGGTGGTCTGGGGAAAGCAGGTGTCTGACCCCCACCCTGCCCTCCTTACGCTGCTCAGGCAGGCTCTCCGGGACCGGGGGGCCAGAACCCTCCTCCACATCCCCATACTGCAGCACCTTGTGGTTGGGGGACAGGCAGCAGAACCACAGCTTGTCTGTGGGCAGAAAGGGGCAGAGGTAAGGAGTGATGAGAGGGACACTCCCTGACCCCAACCCAGCCTCCCTCTACCCCCTCCCCCCGCCCACGTAATGACCCTGGCGCCGACGGCTGCTGATCTTGCGGAAGAGTGTCCCCTCGCAGAGGCGGAGCAAACGCTGCTGGCGGATCAGGCCCATGAGCTCTGGCTTCAGCTTCTCCCGCAGCTCCCTGGGTGAGAGGAGGGGGCTCACTGACCAGGACTGACCTGGGCAAGGCCCATAGGGCAGCAGGGAAGGCAGGGGCAAGGATTGGGACCCATCCCCACCAACTCACAGAATGGGAGGGGCCAGCGTGCCTTCCTGATGCAGCCGCTCGGTCTGCCGCAACCGCAGCACCTCCCCATAGGTGAGCGTGTTCACCTTGGTTCGGAAGAGCTCTAGGGAGCTGGGCTTCAGGGCCAGTGTGCGGGCCAGCTGCTCCCGCACCACTTGCATGACCTGGGGCCACCCCAAGCTCAGCTCAAGGCCTGAGCTCTGGGCCTTGACCCAGAACAGCCCCCTGCCCTGGCCCAGGGCTCTCTGCTCCCATCCTACGCACCTTGTCAAAGTCCTCCTGAGTGGCCCGCATCTCCTTCCAGGTCTTATTCAGCAGCTGGATGCTCACACAGAAGAGCTCGTGGAAGCTCTGGTCTTGACTGAAGAACATGGGCGAAAAGTCCTGGGCTGTTTCGGAGCCTGGAGTGGGGGGGCAGGAGGGGCTCAGGGAGAAAGTGTGTGCAGCCCCTGGCCCTCTCTGCCCTTCCGTCCCCCGTTCCTAGACACGCTGTGCCCTGAGCACCACTCACAGGGCTCTCCGACATGGAGCAGCTCACACAGCAGCACAGTTAGCTGGATGCTGCTCCGGGCAAAGGGGCACTCATGCTTGTCCTCACGGCTGCTGTTCTCCAACACAAACTGGATGATGGGAACACAGAATTGGGTGAGGAATCATGACAGCCCATGGAGATCCTGCTTAGGTGGCTTCCTGCTATCCCACCCCGCCCAGTCACTGACCCGGCTGTAGGCACTGGGTGCATGTCTGGAAAAGTAGAGCATGTTGTCCAGGGCCAGCAGGCCAGGGGGCACACGCTCCAGGTCCTGCGCAGGGTTGCTGTTCTAGGGAAGGGGGACAAGCCACTCAGGAAGGGCTCCCAGCCCTCTGGAATAACAGCAGTCTCAGGCTGAGGTGGGGGTGTGGAGCTTTGTAGGGGTCACTCACAGAGAAGCCCAGTTTGCGGAACTCGCGGGCACAGAGGGAACGACGACGGTCAGCACTCAGCCCAGCACCCAGGGGCTCCCCCTCTGGCTCAAAAGCAGCCTGGCGCAGGGCTTGTAGCTGCTCCCGCTGCTCCTGGGGTCATTGTTGGAGGGGTGTCAAGACTGAAGAGTCAAAGCCAAGCTCCAGCCATCCCCAGCCTTGTGCATCCCAGAGGTTTGTGCTACCTGGCTGTAGGGGTCCAGTGGCGTGCGCATGCGTGGTTCCAGCAGCCCAAGTGTAAGGGCCTGCAGTACGTACAAGTGGTGAGCCATCTCGTCGCCCAGTGGCGCTGCACTGTGGATGATGTTCTGGAGAACAGGCAGTCCGTGGATGTGAGTGTGGGCTCAGGAGGAGAGGAGTTGGGAGGGGTCTGCCTGGTCTGGTCCTTCCTACCTTGTAGATGAACTGGCGAAGGTTTCTCTGCCACAGGTAGTCAAGCATGTGCTGAGGTGGGTGGGAAGGGGGACTTAGGTGATTTAACTCCACCATGAGCATGCACCCTGTACGCCTAGGGTGAAGCACAGCACCCACCAGTTCCTGCCCCTCATCCAGCCACTGGATGGATACCTACTTTACGTTCAGCAGGGCTGGCTCCCTGCAGCAAAGCTGTCAGCAGTGCCATGGCCTTGGTTTGCAGCTGCTGGTTCATCCTGGGGCAAGAAGAGGGCTCAACCAGCCATCTGGAGTCCAGCCACACTCCCCTCATCTGAATCCCACCCCAGACACTTACACCTGTAGGTGCACCAGCAGCCTATCCAATGGCACCTCGCTCTTGACCAGCTGGCCCAGGGCAGGGCTGCTCAAGGTCACACTCTCCAGCAACCCCAGGGCCAAGGGCTGCACAGATGCATCCATCAGGTTCATGTTCACGTAGCACACCACCTGTAAGAGAAGCAGGAGTTGTCACCACCTCATCACCATGGAAGGTTAGAGCCTGACACCACCCCACTGCCCCTAGAAACTCCTACCCACCTTCCTAACAAAGGGGATGCTGAGTGTCTCCCAGGACACCACGCCATGCTCCATGAGCTCCAAGAAGGCCCTCAGTGTGAGGGCCAGCACCTCCCCTAGGCTGGAGGGACATGTGGGGCTGAGCAGGGCTACACCAGGACCCCCAGCCCCATCATGTCCACCACCCACCACAGCCCTGTGCTCACTCGTCCCCATCCTCAATGATGGTGCCTAGTCTCTGAAGCCCATCACGGCTGATAACCTCCCGGGCGAAGGTCATGTCTGGGGCCAACAGGACGAGGTGCCGCAGGGCTTCCCGGCGCCCTTCACGACTCTCGCTCTGCAGCCCACCCAACAGCCGCTCAGCCTCAAGGTCCTGGCAGGATTGGGAGCAAGAGCAGAGGTGAGGAGGTAAGGAGTGGGAACTGGGAATGTGTCCACTAGGTGGGGCACTGCTGGCCTGGAGCCTCCAGACCTGGGGCAGAGGCGCAGGTGGGCAGAAAAGAGGAGAGGGACAGGGAGTGAGGGCAGGGTCGGGGGGGGGGCATTACTGGAGCAGTGCTGAGGCACAAGATGCTGCCATTCTTGATCTCCATGCGGTTCTGGAAAAGGTGGTCAAAAATGGAGAGAAGTCAGGAAGAGCTCTGAGGATTGGTTAATTGGGTTGTCAACCAGGGAAGATTTGGGAGTCAGTAAAAGAAAGATCAGGTTCTAGACAGTGGGATGATGAGTCTGAGAAGTCAGGGCCAGGTGGGTTAGAAGGGGTCATACAGTGGAATATGGGGCCAAGGACGAGAGGGGACTCACATTCTCAGTGATGTATCTCCTGTGCCCATCAGCAAACTGGAGGGCATAGCGCTCAGAGTGAAGCAGGCTCCACCTGTGGGCAGCAGAGACTCAGTGAGCTGGTTGGGGGGAAACTTCTCCCTCCTGCCCCCATTCCACCCACCACCCCCACCCCTGCGCCTGGGAGGCCCACACTCACGCGTCGCACACCTCCTTCAGCACAGCAGCCAGGGGTTTTGCCTGCAAGTGGAGCGGTCACTCAACAGGGAGGGAGTGGGGAGGAGCCTGGGGAGGGGGAGGGTCGTATGTTGGAGGGGAAAGGGGCGACCCGGAGGTGGGTGGTAGGGTGGAGGCCAGGTGACCTGGTCCAGCTGGATGAGCTGCGGGATGGCGTCACGCATCTGGACGGCGATCTTCACCACATTCCGCGGGGGCGCCATGCCAATCAGAGGGGTGAGGGCCTCTGTACTCCAGACGTGCAACTTCCCGCGGAAGGCACGCCTGGTCTGAGGCCCCTGAAGATGAAGGTGTTCCTCTGTCCGAGGTTTGGTTCCTGTGGCCCGCGCTCAAAGCCCAGGTTCCCACTCCTGACAAGGCGCCGCGGCCTTCCCAAGGGAGCCGGAGCCGAGGCTAGTTCCGGGTTGGAGTCCGGGGTAGGAGGGTAGGGTTGGATGGCGCCTGCCCTAACCCCGCCCCGCAGAGGCGGCCCTGCCCCGCCCCAAGGTGCGGCAGGTGGTGGTGGGGAGGGCGGGCTGTCAGCACCGCCACACCTTCTTTCCTAGAAAGGTGACCCTCCCAATCCCAACACCAATCCAGCGGAGTCCCAGGGAGGGGCCCTGAAAGAACCAGATCACAGATAGCCTTAGGCATGGTCTTTATTCACTTGGACACTGTACAAATATTACAATTTCCTTTTGCTGCAAAAAGTATAAAAATAATCTTTATATAGGAATCCATTCGTTACTGCAAATCTTTCTAAATCTCTGCAAATGGCTCTAAATGAAGGTAAATGAATAAACAAGAGGGGGGCTATGGGGCAGAGGGAGGTTGGGCCAATCCTCAGGGACTCACCCGCCCAGATTCCTAGCTAGAGATCTCTGTCCCTTCCTGTTAGCACCCCCACTACCACCACCTACAGGTTCTCAGTGCCAAGAGGCCAGCAGAAGTGGGGTACACGAGAGGTCCAGAAGGAGCTGTAGGATAGGGAGTGGAAGGAAGTAAAGGAGACTAGAGGTGGTGCTGGTAAGTGCCCATCCCTGCCCCATGCTTCCTTCTAGAAGAGGGAGGGGCTGACAGATACAGGGCAGTGGGATTAGACAAACTGTCCTGTGAGGATGATGGCGGGTCCTTGGTTCTGTGCCACTGGGTGGCAGCTGAGCCTGAATTCTGGGAGGGCCCAGGGAGGGTACCCTGTGGGGGAAGGCCCCCCAAAAGGAGAGGTGAACACTTTGGCTCCACAGTGAAGGGAGCTAAGCCCCTTTTCCCTGCTCTCTCAGCACAGTACACGTGTTGGTGCAGGAGTGGGACTTGTGGCCAAAAGTGTGCAGTGAGGGAAGGTTGGGAAAACCAGGAGTTTGCAGCTCTCAAGCTGTGTACGGGTGGGTGGGGGGAAGTCCCCAGGCAGCCCCCAGGTCAGACAGTCTGTGTCCCAGCCACAAAGGGCATGCCCCTGTCAGTCAGAGATTGAGAACAGGCACATCAAAGAGGTCACAGACACCTTCACTCTCGTCCAGGTTGTAGATGTAATCGTGGTCTCCGGGGGGTGGAGAAAGGCGGAGGAGGGGTGCAAACACTGCAGAGAGCAACAGGCTGAGTCCTCAGGGCCAAGACCCCTCCCAGTAGCCACCCAAACCCTGCCCACACTCACCCCCCACCTTTCTGGGCCACGTACCTTCTGAGGACATTAGCTCCTCCAACAGCTCTGAGCTCATGCACTCTGGGGATGGAGGGAGAGCTCAGTTACATTCTGGCTCCCACCTCTCCACCCACCAAAGCCCATGAAGGGGACCACACCCACCCACCCATCAAGAACTGTGCCCTTTGCCCAGGGATCAAACACAATCATATGGTTCTCAGAAGGGCAAGAAAACAGCCCCAAGACCCAGTGAGCTGTGCCCCTCACCCCAGCCCCAGAGAGGAACACTGCCTTACCTCGCGTGGGGTCAAAGATTTCTGACAGCTCCTTGGGGAGTTCCAGAACTGAAAAACAAGAAAGACATGCTCAAGGGCACAGATGTCCAGCCTAGTCCCACTCTAGCCCCTGCTTTCTCAGATCCTGTATCACCCACCCAGGGGCTCCACACAGCTGAGACGTAGGCCCTACCCTAGGTCAAGATGACACTGTCTCTCAGGCTCCCCTACTAGACCTGAATTTCTCAGTGCCAAGCCCAGGGTCCCAAAGGCCCGCAGTAGGTAATTGGTACAGCCCTTCTAACTCAGAGGTTCTGAAGAAGGGAAGCAATCCCACTCTATTTCTGGGCTCATCATGCATATCATCTGATGGCAAACACCCTGTCCATCCCTGCCCTTGCTAAGCACCTACTTGGTGCCATGCTCACATACCACACCCCAGGCCAGGTCACCTGACAGAGGAGACAGACAGACTCTTAAATAGGGGTTAGTGCTACAGGGTGATGACTCTGCTACAAAGGTCTGACTGGGAAGACACACATGGGAAACAGGAAAATGAAGCTGGAAAGGAGAGAGCTAGGTCACAAGGGATTTCATATTCCAGGTTTAGGAGTTCTGATTTTATCCAGGAGGCCTTAGGGAGCTGTTAAAGATACTTTTTTATTTAAAGCAGTTCATTTATTTATTTAATTGGGTTGGGGGGGATTAGGTTTATTTATTTATTTTTTAATGGAGGTACTGGGGATTGAACCCAGGACCTTGTGCATGCTAGGCATGCACTGTACCACTGAGCTATACCCTCCTCAAAGATACGTTTGAAGACAGAAAACTGTCACAGTCAGGCTGCATTTCAGACTTGTCAGTTGGGGTAAAGAAGATGTGGACGCGTGGGAATGAAGTGCCTATTGGATGTGCAGAGGAAGGCATGTAGACAAAAGAGGTAAAGTTCAGGCAAAAGACCTAGGCAAGACGGTGACTGGGAATACATCTACCCAGAACTGGGGGCCTCCACAGGTGTGAAATGGGCCAGAGACTTGAAAAGCCAGATTTAAATGAACACCAGGGAGAGATCAGAAGGAGAAGTCATTAAGAGAGAAGAGCCAAGTGCTGGCATCACTAATGCCAAAGGAGAAAAAGAGCATCCACATGGAGCAAAACAGCCCCAGAGCAAATCAGCCTAGAAACCCGCTGGAGCTGGCCATCAGGGCTGGGCAGCTTACTGAGAGCACTGGCGTGGCGTGGTGGGGGGTTGTGGGCTGTGTGTGTGTTATGGGGGGCGGCGTGGGGGGGGGCGACTGCTGCAACCTGAAGGCTGACTAGGGAACCGAGATACAGAGTAGAATGGAGATGACTTTTTCTAGGAGTCCAGACAGGATACAGGGAAGGTGAGGGAGGGGAACACAAGGGACGAAGTGTCATTCAGTGAGGAGAGACTAAGTGGTTCTTGTGAGCGGAGAAGAATGAGTCCTAAAAAAAGCAAACACTCAAAACACAAGATAGAGAGGAGAGGAAATGACATCACCTCTAAGACACTGCCCACCTTTGGAGCCTGAGGACCATAGCACAGCCCCTTCCCTAGGACAGTGCTCACACCTTCCTGAGACAGGTCCACGGGGTAGAACACAGGGCTTGAGGAAGGGCTAGGCAGTTCTGTGTCAACTCAGGAAGTGGGTAAAGGGGCATAAGCACCAAGCCAGAGGCCAGGCTCCTCACCCTAGCTGGCAGAGCTCTGGTGCCAAGGCAGAGGTGGATAGCAGGGAGCTGGCTCTTGGGCTGGCCAGCTGTGGCTGAGGAGACAGAACTGGGTTTGAGGCCCAAGTCTGTTTCTGACCAAGGACTGTCTGAGGCTAGGCTCTCCTTGTTCCCAAGAGGACAAGCACTCACCGCCTGTGGGGTCTGCCTTGATGGGCTCAAAGGAGGTAGAAGGGTTGGGTCCAGATGAACTGCTATTGCTGCTGCTGCTGCTGCTGCTGCTATCCAACAGGGCAGAGGACTGCAGAGGCCGGGTATCCAGTGCTGTCAGGCCCAGTGGGAGTGTGCTGAGCTCACCACTGTCCTTGCTATCAGTTCCAGGACCGCCACTCACTGCAACCACATCCCCCAAACCCAGTCACATGGGGGCAGGAAGTAGGATATTAAAGCTGGCCATGCTAGAACCCACAGTGAGAATGCGACAGCCCTGGTTCCTAGGCCCAAGGAGAGTTAGGCACTGCCAATCACTCACAAAGTGGTACCATGAAAATTAGTCACTGAAGGGGCATGAGGCCTGCAGGAGGGAGAATCATGGACACACCTGCTGTGACCACAAATCAAGAGGGGCTGCCAGGGCCAGTGGGATACTGGCAGATCTGGGGGAAAAGTGCCACCACTAATGCCCTTTCACATAGTCAAAGCTCTGTTAAAAAAAGCTCATTCATTGCACTAGCAAGGAGAGGCCAGCTGGGGGCCAGGAAAAGGACAAACCCCACAAGGTCTCTTCCATCACACAGAGGTATTGCCTCTTGGGCCCCAGAAATCACCCCATTACCAGCTTCCCGTTGTGCCTCACCTGTGATCTCAGCTGCTGGACTGGCCACCCCCTGAGCTTCGGTGCTGCCAGGGACAGGGGTAGGGGTGGTCACCTGGGGACTGCTTGGGCGTGAGGCATCCTGGGGTTGAGCCAGGGCAGGCTCGGGCAGAGGCGGAGGGGTAGAGACAGCAGGTGGGCTCTGGAGCAGATCTTCGGGTGGTGGCACAGGCACTGCCACAGGCGGCGAGCTCCATGCCTCCTTGTTCACCAACAGTACCTCAATGGGGCCACTTACACTCTTCAGGTGAATCTGGTACTTCTTCTGCCCATTGAGTCCCTGGAGGTAGAGGTGGAGGACGGAGGAGAGATGGAACTGGAAACAGGATTGGCCCTTGCCTGACCCTGTGCCAGGGCCACAGTGTCCTCTCCCACCCCAGACTGCCCGTCCTCCTAGATAACCCCAAACCCCAGGCCTCCCCCTACCTGCCCCACCCGGGACTTATCAGGCTCCACAGCCAGCACCCGCCCTCAATCAACCCTGCCTGCCTGGGCTGAGCACCCACCTCTGGGATGGGCACCTCCAGGCTGGTGCCTGATGGGGCCCGGATGGCCAGGAGGGTGTCTCCTAGGATGACAAGGAGAATGGGTCAAGGCCCATGGGTTCAATCTGAGCTGGGAATGGGGGTATCTATCCCTTGGAGCAAGGAAGGAGTTCATGGTCTCCGAGGGGCTAGACAGGAGGCTTCATTCATCCCTTATGGTGGCTCAGTGGCTAAGGCAGAGAACTAAAGCTATTCTCCTCCTAAGAGCCCAGAGGTCTGTAACTAGAAAATCTGGGTTCAGACACATGGAGCAAAAGATTGCTGGCCATGGACATCTCCCTGATTGAAGGGGCTGCTCCCTAGACGTAGATATTCTGGCCAAAGCCAATGTCCCTTCCCCAGAACCAGTCTGGGAAGTGCAAGATGGAGAAGGAATAGTTCCCATAACTACAATGCAACTAAACTAACTATAGATTGGAAGTTGGCATCGTTGCCCCCTGCACACCAGCATGCACACACACTTTCTCCCTTGTATGATTCTGTTACACCTGAGAAGTCATACCTAGGGGACAGTGCAGATAGGGGCTGACCCAGGGATCCAGCCCAGGATTCCCATATCCTCTCAGTATGGTTACCCTCCACAGGGTCCAGTGACCATCGAACCCAGGACTTACCCTGTCTGGATCTTCTTTGGGTAGGCCCCAGGAACCCTCTTAAGAGAAGGAAATCTCCTTGGGCACTGAGCTCATTGTTCAGGGCTGTGGCTCAGCCCAACCCCACCCCCATCTCCCCCTACCCAGGCTCTGCTCACCAGCAAAGCATCTGCAGATGTCCTCATGAGTCACGTAGGCCAAGGTGCGGGGGTTAAGGGAACAGCTGATGCCCTGCCTACACTGACAGATAGCAGACCACAGAGAGGACCCTGATCTTTAGCACAGCTCTGACATAAAGT